ATACTCTGTTTTACAGACCAAGATTCCAAACTATTTTACCATCAGAGTTAGCAAAGTAAAAAAACTGCGATAATAAAACAAGCAACTATCGATTTTAAACGATTACTTCTTAGTTTGCAATAAAAGAAAAAAAAAAAAAAAGAAAATAAATTTTGTTATTGTCAGTACTCTGTTTTACCAACCGAGATTTCATCTTTCTTACCGATCGAGATTTCAAACTGTCTTACTATCAGAATTACCAAAGTAAAAAAAGTGCGAAAATTAAACAAGTAATTATTGATTTTAAACGATTAATTAGTTTGCAATTTTCTGCAATTATTCTTTTCTTTCTGCGGTGCAAGTGATCATCGTTGGATTTATCATTTACTCGTTTTGATTTTCTTCTAATTTTTAAAATATGTATGTATAAAAAACGCATTTCTGAAGGCACACACATATTTAGACACTAAAAATTAAATATAATTATTTAAAATTTTCTTACAATATAACTATACTATATATACTATCAAAGAATATTGTATGCTTTTATAGTATTGTACCCTCATCGCATTAAGTACATACTATCGTCCACTGGTGGTTCCAGTGGTAACAAAAATGATGCTGGGTAGATAAAAAAGAGGACTTGTGAGTTTTTATATACTTCACCATAAAAAATTTGGCATAGAATTGCAACAGCAGAAAAAAAATGAAAAAAATGAAAATATTTACCTATTGTTTATACATTATGAACGATTAACTTATTCCTTTTCACTACCTTATAGGTTGTTACTTTGGAAATCAACTTTAAATATATTCCCTGCAGGTATACCAACTTTACTTTCATTTTTTTTCCAAGTGTGCTTGCGCCTTGAATTTGTGGTTGCACATGTATATAACATATCTCCCACTCATGACGTCGCCATTTCATAATTATTCAGTGTAATAATTATTTTCAATTAATTAACGATAAATAAAAAATATTTGATAAAATAAAGTTGAGCAAATAGTGAGTAATTAAGAGCATTTATTCATTTTTTTCTGCTATTAAGGTTCCTTGCCAACGTTCCTACGGTATTATGTCCACGTATTTGAAAATTTTCTGTATATTCACAAACTTATTATATATCGATAAAATTGGTTCCTTTATTGCACTTGTAGTTCATATTTTATTCGTAATTGTCGCTGAAATCACATACGATCCGAACAAAAGGTGATGATAAATCTTTATAGTATTGTGTGCAATTTTGAAGCAACATCATTGGCTAACATGTCAAATTAAGAAACTCGCTAGATGATCACTTAAGGTGTTCGAGTTGGTGAATTAGTAATTTAATAGGCCAAGGGTAAATGAAACTGTATTGCGAACAGTGACCAAAAAATTTGAAAAGAAAGATTTAACGATGTGCATTTGTTAAATTCAATTGAAACTTACTTATTCATTTGAATCAATTTTGCTCTTTTTTTGTTTTGCAGAAAAATGCCCGATAAAATTACTATCGATGATGTATGTACCGTTAATTTGTTATATTATATATGAATTTGTTAATTATGTCACTTTTTATATATATTTTTTTATCCATAGTTTCCCATTTTCAAGTCAAAACATGTTTATATCAAGGATAAAAATGCTACAATGAATACGATTAATATTATGTTACGGGATGGACCAGACAATTTGCAGGTACATTTGTACAATTATTTTCATTTATAACAAATTTGAAATTACGTATGCATATGAATAAAAATTGATAAATATTTGACAGGTTGTTACAGATTTTGACTTAACATTAACCAAACAACATGTTGATGGCAAACTGGTGCTCAGCAGCTTTGGTATATATATATAATTTATATTTTATATTAAGATTTATTAATTTACTTTTTCATATAACATTTTATAACATATGTTCGATGCTTCGATTTAATTAGTATAATTTTTCTATTAGCACACACACATATATTGTATTGCAATTTATATTTTCAATTTTAGGTTTGTTTGGAAAATGTAATCAATTACCATCCACATATACGAATGAGGCTAAACGATTGTATCAAAAATACAGACCTATAGAAATAGATCCAAATTTAGCTTTAGAAGAAAAAATAGAAGCTATGAGCGATTGGATGACTTCTGCTGAAAAATTATTAAAAGGGATAGAATTTGATCCTAAAGAATTATCCGAAGTGGTACAAAAATATGGTACACCTTTACGTGATGGTACCAAAGAACTTTTGGAAAAATTAAATGAAGCAAACATACCAGTTCTTGTATTCAGTGCTGGCTTAGGGGATGCTGTAGAAGCAGTTTTAAAATGTCACAAAGTTTTGTTTAATAATGTTAAAATTATATCGAATTTTCTTAAATATAATGGTAACCAAATAGACGGATTTAAAAATAAAAAATTAATACATGTTTTTAATAAAAATGAGCATGCTCTGGAACAAGATTATTTTAAAGTCATTGAAGGAAGACGACATGTATTATTAATGGGTGATAATACTGGAGACGCAAATATGGTAGATGGTATGGATGACACAGTTGCAGTTTTAAAAATTGGATTTTTGTATGACAAAGTAAGATTCTTTCTGATTAACTTATACTCTTTAAATATATTTGGAAATTGTTATAAATATTTTATTATTATTTTATAGGCAGAGGAAAATCTGCACAATTATATGAACGAGTTTGATATCGTATTAGTAGATGATCAAACGATGCAAGTAGCAACAGAAATATTAAGAACTATATTAAAATAATTGTATTAAGATTTAGAAATTATTCATAACTTATTTCAACGAACAATATTTAACACGAGATAAATGATAAGTTAAGCTAACAGTGTATAAAAGCTTTTATATTAAGTGTGTTCTATATGCTGGACTTTAAATCCAAATATTTATTTATCAAATACTTTGTTATACATATTTTAATGTATTTATGTTAAAATAGAAATTTTCTACACTTGAAAACTATTATATATTTACGCTGACTTACCAGTTCACAAAAATAGAGCCGATTTCCTTAAAAATTAACGATATTCCATTTTGATAAATCTTCAATTTCACTGCCTCCAAATATTGTGTAGTTTTTTTAATTGTATGTGAAATGTTATATTAAGTTCTGATATGATGTAAACTGTTAAATATATCTTAGAATTCATAATTTTTTTTAAATTTATATTCCTTTAATTCCCTAATATTGTATTTTTACATATGAATTAATCATTTTTAATAAATTTCAAAAATATTTAAAATACATTAATTTTGCATAATATTGATAAAACACTTTAAATATTAAATTAATGAAAAGGACAAAAAATTTTTGATAAGACAGAATTTGTTACTAAATATTTATATTTGTATTAAATCACTATACGTATATTTTTATATCATCAGTAAATCACTATTTCACAGCTTCATATTCCCATTTAAACAAAAACTTAGCGGTATTACATATTAAGCTGTCATAAAATATTAAAACTGTATTCGTATCTTCATCTTAACTACACTTTTCTAGTCAGCAAATTTTCATACTATGTATTGGTGTATGAAATAGATTATTTACTTGTTCTTTGACTTATCATTAATGCAAAAGATGATTTAACAAATCTATTCAATTTATAGTCAAGCCTAGGTGTTCCATTGATCACATTATATAGATACACATATTTTTATTATTGTTTGATTTGTCTTGAAGCTAAAAGATATTCTATAAAATGTGTGTTATGTAAATCTAGATCTCAAATTCAACAATAGAAAAATAATCACCGCAACCATATGTATTTTCTTGATATTACGAAATTTAATTTATACAATTCTTTGTGAATGTTCATTTGTAGCTACCTCATATAATGCAGAGCATTTCATTAAACTGTAGTTGCAGTAACAAGTTTGATACGATAAACCATTAATACAAGTTAAAGATACATTAATTATTGTATCATTCTTAGTTTTATCTCTGTTAGAGGAAGCATTAACAATGTTGATGCAATGCAATGTGCGATTGTATGAATTTTGTAATGTGTGTGTTTCATTACATAATAGTGCAATTATTGATATTCTTATGAAATATAAGAAAAAAATGCACCAAAGATTTCAAGGTAATAGAATAATTGAAATGCTTACAAGTCAAGTTCATTATGAAAATATAGATTCCATCGATGTTCCGCACCCTTACACTTATAATTTACTAGATCACATTATGCATTTCATATTTAGATAACTAATCTTTTAAAAGCTTAACAATCAATCCTGATTAAAAGTCTGATTATGCTTGAATACGAATGAGCTACTGCATACTTCTCAACAATTGGGGATTATGCAAGAAATCAAAAATAAATTAGAATCTGTAGGATTTATGCTTACTTTTTCAAAATTATAAATTATCTACATGTGAATACTTTTTAATAAAAGTAAAAATTACACAAGAAGTAATGAAAAAATATAGATAACATTATGAAAAAAAAAAGAATTATTAATTAACTATATTTTTATTATATAGTCCCCTATTGTTTATGTTTATCATAACTGCATACACTTTTCCTACCATGTCTCGACTACTTTAACATGACGTAGATCTATATCTACATAATTAAATTGTATTTCCATGTTATTTATATGCTTGATTTGAGTTTACTCAGGCCACAAAATAATAAGAATATAATATATTCCTACAAAATAATACATACATGATAGTTTACAAGAGATCATGTGGGTATTACATTTCTATTACAGAAATAAAACTTATTCTTTTCTTCCAGCTCAAATATAATACTTGATTTATAACAAGGAAGTATCATGTAAAGGATACTCACAATTAAAATATTTCACTGTTATTCTTATCAATTAGCACAGGCGCATATATATCATATACAATAGTAAATATAATTAGCCTTTAATCGAGTAGTCTTTCCATAATCAAGCATTTGTATGTAATGATAAAATTAGCAATTCTTCAAGTCACTTTGCTTAGCCTGTTAGTTTAATCGGATTTCCGACCAACTACTCCAGTATATTTTTTGCGATATTAGGTAGTAGGATGATACGAACTAATGAGAGCAGCATCTACCGGTTCCATGCATGACGGACAAGTGAGTGAACGAAGTAACCAATCGTCGATACACACTGCATGATAAGTATGCATACAAGGTAGATAGCGTACTTCTTCTCCTATCATAAGCTCCATCATGCATATCACACATTCTCCTTTCTTCGTACCATCATATTGCCGCATAGGCAAATGTTGTATAAGTCCTATACGCTTTGCAATTCGTACCTGCTGTTCTTCTTCGCTTATACTACCAGGTGTAACGCCAAGTCCTAAATTAACCCCAACGCCTATTCCACGAGAGACATTTAAATTAGATTGTAAACGATGTTCTCTTGTCGCTGTCGCAGGATAATAAGATCCCATAATTTCCTAAAAATATAATAATATTTTTAGTTTAACCAAATATATTTACTGATGTTAAAGTAAAATATACTACATGTACAATAATTTGCAATTAAAAATTTTATTACTCAAAAGTATAGCAACTTTGACTCTTGTTAGAAAATAAGAAAAGAAAAGAAAAAATAACAAAAATAAAAATAAGAAATAATAGATGTCTCTTATAGAGATGAAAATAATAAATGTAGAAATTCAATAATAATTAAAATCTTCTTCTAAACTTGAAATGTCAAACAATTTGAATAAAATAATATACGATAAATATAATAATAAAATAAAGTTACATTATAAGGTATTTGAGATCCAAGTACTTCTTGCGAAGAACTTCCGATCATCGAAGGATCGGGATTGCTGCTGAGCAAAGTGGTATTGTCCTGTTGAGTGCCTCCCGCGCGTTTCAGACAATTTCCCATTTTGACGTGCAATCAAGTTCCTATCAACGATTCCTCCTTTATCACGGCTTCTCATTCGATTTAATCCGATGCCGTATTAGAAAACAGTTAGCAAAGCAATATGAGACGTACCAAACTCAGTCCTCATTTTTTTTACAAGAGCATAACTTTCTTTAGTTACTTGTCACAAGACTAATCTCAATCTTACGATGAATATAACAAATCGTCTCGTTTTGACAAGATACACCACACGAATTGTTATGACCAGAACATCTCCTGTCATATACTCATACAACTAACAGCTGAGTGGTCTCACGCACACATTCAAAGAGGTAGACAAACAGGCTATGGAAGAAGTTAGTCACAAATTTGAGAAAAAATATTTGACATCGAGGTAAAATGTTTTTTACTCTGTTAATACTTTTTCGTCGTAAGAACAGTTTGTCCATCTGATTGGACGAAGGCATTATCTTATTGGCTATGCATAGTGCTGCGTAAAAGAAAGTTAACAGGCATCTTTCTATTGGTTCTCGTCTAGCAGCCATGTTGAGTATTGGACTGCATAATATTTTGAAATTGAACTTTTGAATGGCATCGTATTTATTCACGAAATAAATTAAAATAAGTTTGTTTATACTTAAGGGGTTTAATGTACTATATAATTAAATTGATTAAATCAATTATCAGCGAATTTATATTCGTTTAATTAAATGTATTATTATGTTGTAGAGATAAAATATATTTCTTTTTGTAATATTAACGAGTATAATTTACAGCTAAATTGCAATTATAATCTTATTCAGGAAATATTAAATTAAAAAGAATCTCGATATGTATTACGATTTATGATTAAAATTAAGCGAAAAATATTACGTATCTTGTTAACTTATATATATATATATTATTTACATGAAGCGTATATTTAAATATAGCGATTAAAAAGTTTTCTAAGAAAAGTTCGTCACAATGATTGCGAAAACCTATAAGATGAATGAATTTTTTTAATTATTAGCGATTATTTTATATCCTTAAAAGTAGCATGAGAATAATTTTATTCTACGCATATTAATAATGTTATCTAATTTCTAATGAAGAATAAACATTTGAGTTAGCGATAAGAAGAAAAACGTGTAATGGTAGTTACACATAAATTAATATCTAATTTAATTATAAGTATCTACTACGATAATTGAGCCGTTTATTTTGAAAGTTATTTAAATATATCTATTTTTTTCCACAAAATGTTTTTTATGACAGCTAACTTCCAATTGTACACGTTATTACGATCAATAACAAAAATCAATAGCTCGATTATTCATGTAATTCATAAATAACAAGTTTCGTCAGATACTTACCGGAAATACATATCAAAATTAATCTAAAAATATATATATATCATATTTTATGTATACATATATATATAAATATTTTGTACTTGACCATTCCGGTTAACAGATCGAGACAAGAAAAAAATGAAAAGAGAGATAAGAAAAAATAAAATATCTTAATTAGATTTTATCCAAAGACTTTTTTTATTTTCTCCATCTTATCGTTATTGATCGTGGATCGAAGAAAATTTATGGAATCGAATAATTCTTAGTTTTCGAGTATATTAAAATAAATGGAAGATCATTCTTTTACTTATCTTATCGATAGAAGACTTTTGACCTCGTATAAACACGAAAAGCACGAAGACCTTTGGCACCGATCTTCTCCCCCTAAACATATATGTTATGGGAGGACGACGACGTCTATTCGAACTGCGGACACGGTCGTGACAGGAAGTACTTATTTAACCGATACTACCGTGTGTACTCGTGTATACGTTTAATCAAGTAAGCTCTGTACTAGAACTTAGCTTTGCACCCCACGATCGGTCCTCACTTTGACTTATTCGTTGTTCGAACTCTCTGGTATCTTCCTGGCTAACGTATACGAGCGTGCTTTGATCCAATCATCCATCGTCTACACACAAAATACAAAATTATTCATTACCAACAAATTGTTCCTCGTACCGGATAGTATTATCCGAGAGAAAAACGATGTTGCGTTTTAAACTGATAGATCTTTTATCTATGTGTTATCTAAAGGAGAATTGATCTTGAAGAATCAATCTTATATACTAAATTTTTGTTGGATATATAACTCGGGTTTGTTACGATTTTGTTGGCAAAAAAGGAAAGATATAACAAACAGGTTCGATAAAATCATTGCAATTTTATTATTAAGAGTGCAACTTAGTGTCAATTACGATAAAGGGATAAGTATGCATATGGGGGAATGTAGAGGACGGTTATAATACAAAGACAGTGACCTTGGTAATCGACGATAGTAAAAAAGAGAGAAAGAAAAAGTGGAAAAAAAAAGATAAGATGATTTACAATCGGCAAATTTTCTTTTGGAGGATGATACTTCTTTGTTTGTTTGTTCTCGTTGAAATTGTCCAAGGAGGTAACGTAAAATATTTTCAATTATATTTGCGACTGCATTGATTTACAATTAAATTATAAATCGTATAATAATTAGCAAAGCGTATACGATTACATTTTTGTTTTAACTCTTTCTTTTAGAAATTATTAAAGATCCAACATTATGTAGTCGCACGAGATGCAAGGGTAAGCATAAACAATATTGATATTTAATTTTGTTCATTTATAAACCGTTGAAACAATTTATATAATTTTATTAATTTGCTCTACTTTTTATTTCTTTTTTTTTGTTTGGAATTAACCGATCTAACAAATAAATGGCTGATATGTATTTATGTACAAATCATATCGTTTGGAATGTTATCGATATAATAATTAAAGTCTTCGCGTTGCAGTACCATTCGAGCGGAAATTCAAGTATGAAGAAGGTGTCTCGTATCAGTATCAATATTCAGTTGATGTAAGCACGAATCTCGGTAAAGTCGGAACATTAGCATCGAATGGAAGAGAATCGAAAAATGAAACAAAGTTGAACATAGATGCTTCGTTGATCGTTCATTTCACATCGCCATGCGAGGGTGCATTGAAATTTCAAAATGTTAGCCTAAGCCACAATCGGGATCGTTACAATGCCGAATTTCCTGATCGTGCTGGAGCTGAATTCAAGGCCAGCTTGGAACGTTTTACTTTGAGATTTGCTTTTGATGATGGTAGAATAAACGAGGTCTGCCCGGACCGTCGTGAAACGGTTTGGGCATTGAACTTGAAACGGGGTGTCCTTTCTATGCTGCAGAATAATATGAAAAGGTTCGACGTTGATCATCGTGTTGACGAACTCGACGTTAATGGAATATGCGAGACCAATTACCGACTATACGAAGCAAGAAAGACTCAATTGATTATCAAAAGAACGAAGAACTTAGCTGACTGTCAATTCAGTGCAAAGCATCTCTCAGTAATGCAATCTAACTATTATAAAAATACCCGATCAACTACGAAAACATCTAAACGATCTCTGTTGAAATCCGCTACCGAATGCGAAATAACAATCGATCATAATGTATACGATAGGGTTGTTTGTAAAGATACTCATCAACTTCGACCATTATCAAACGATAATTCTGCTGGTGCTAGAACCGAAAGTATCGCTATTCTTCAACTTGTAGAGGAAACCAAAGAAGAATTTTACGACGACGAAGAATCGAAAGAAGATGATGAAAATATTGGCAAGGATATTGCGATTAGAACGAATTTACTTTACGATCACGAGAGAGTATCTAAAACGATACACGGGGAATTAAGAACGTCCCGAGATTTTTTGAAAATTTTATGTAGAAATGGCGCTAATCCTGATGAAATTCAACATAGATTTTCCGAAACGTTTATCACGTTCGTCCAATCGGCTCGTCTTCTCGATTATCCTTATTTGTCACAATTGTTCGCTAGAGCAAATGGGATATGTAAAACTGGCAAGTAAGTTATCAACGTTATTAACATTTTTATATTATTTTTATATGCATATTAATTATTGTACCGGGTTTTTATTTTACAAGAAAACAAATAGTCGATGCATTACCGTATATGGGAAGCAACGCTGCAGTTAACGTTATGAAAGATTTAATAATAAAAAAGTATGTCAATGAAGAAACCACAGCCAATTGGATCACGATATTTGGTCTAATACCAAGACCAAATTATGGAACTATACGAGCACTTGCACCACTCTTGGATTTTCAACATCAAATGCCTAATACTCAATTTATTTTAAGTTATTCGTCCGTTATTCATACGTTTTGCAAATCTACTACTGCGGACTGTACTAATCTCGAATATATTAACAAATTTATGTCTTATCTTAAGCAAAAGATCAATAAGGGTTGTGCTCTTCGCTATCATTCGTTAGCAGAAGTTAAAGAAGTGAGTATTATCGAGTTATTGTTAAAACTTAAATGATGTACCATTATCTCATTTTACTTTATATTATAGACATTGGAAGCTTTGAAAGCAGTTGAAAATATGGGATTGGAAACCGATGATTTGTTGGAAAAATTAAAAGTTTGTATAGACAACACGGGTGGTTTCGTAGCGATGGAAGTGCAGGTTGCAGCAATAAATGCACATCGTAGATTACCTTCCTGCGAAGAAACTCGCGATCGTTACTTCTTAAATTATTATCGTAATTTTACACTTGATTCTGAATTACGTATAGCATCGTATTTACAAGTAATGCGTTGTCCTGATTACAACGTTATAAAGACAATTAAGCATACTCTTAAAGTTGAAGAAGTTAATCAAGGTAATAAATGTAACATAATTATTAATCAACGCGAGATATATAATATTTATTAATTAATAATTGTTAATATTTATTTCGTTTAATTTTGATATAGTTGGATCCTTCGTATGGAGTCATTTAACCAATCTTTATAGTTCGTCGTCACCAACACGCGTTGAAATACAAAGTCTTCTGACCGATAGAGATCTCGGTACTAAGTTTAACAGCGATATTAGAAAATTTTCACGTAATTATGAAGGCTCGTTCTTCTCCGAAGAATATAATTTTGGTGCCAATCATCAGAGTAATTTAATATTCTCACCAAAATCGTACATACCACGTACTGCCAGTTTCAACATGACCATAGATTTACTCGGCGAGTCTGTTAATTTATTCGAAGTATCAATGAGAATGGAGGGTTTTGAATATTACGCCGAAAATTTCTTCGGGCCCGACGGACCGTACAGCAACGAAAAAGTATCTAATCATTTCAAGAATTTGATAAGGAATTTTAGGTCCGCGCCTGAAAGGGAGGATCAATGGTCGCAAGTTAAAAGATTACCTAATATCATTGATAATAACTTCAACGATCCAAAAATCAGTTTAGGGTATAAGGTATATAAATCGATCGATGTTATTTAATATTAACAATTATTTCAAGTTATGTTATATATATATATATATTTATTTATACGTTATATACGTTAAAACAGATTTTTGGGAATGAATTAAAATATACGATGTTAAATGGTGACAAAGAAATCAAAGAAGCTTTAGCTAGTTTAAATCCATGGGAAAAAGTAAAAAAAATTTTATCAGGCCAAGAAATTTATTACGATAACACAGTGATGTTCCTTGATTCTACATATGTAGTACCAACAACGTCTGGTTTGCCCATACGTTTAGATCTTGCTGGTTCAGCCGCTTGCAAATTTAAATTGGCTGGCTTTTTAAACGTTAGTCGTTCGATGAATACCAAGTTAGAACTTATAGGAAATTTTACTCCTAGGTATGAAATTAATTCTAATGGAAAATTCAATATATTTAATAATACAATCTAAAACTTGAGATAAATTAATTAATACAATATAAATTTACATGAATTTTTTGTATTTGCAGCGTAAGCGTCGATATCGTTGGCACTATGATGGTAGATGCATTTTATAAAAATGCTGGAATTAAATTACGTACAAATATTTATTCGTCCGGTGCCGTACAAATTCGTTTTAATTTAGACGGAATACATTTGGTGCAATTGAATCTTGGCTTACCGAACAATAAAATAGAAATTTTCTCTATAATTACGCACGTATTCTTGGTAGAAACTAATGGGGCAGAAAGCGAGGAAACGCAATTAGGTATTTTAAAAACCGATCGACAATCGACTTCATCGAAAGAATTAATGTTACCGGAAAGAGTTATTAGTAATACTACGTGCACTTGGCAAACACTCGATCGACTTATCGGTCTTAAAATGTGCGTTGATTATCAGTTTCCGAATGTAACAAAGGATCCTAATGCGCCCTATTTCCTTCTGAATGGCCCAACTCTTTTTAAAGTTTCGGTAATCAAGGCTGATCCCACTGCTAAAAGTTATTTGTTAGAATACAAATGGGTACGAACAGAGGTTGGTCATTTTTCATGATTATTATTAATACAAAATATATTATAAATTATATAATCGATATATTAATTATGATTTCGGATTTTGATCGTAGAAACAAAGCGTATTCAAAGTGGCATTTGATACACCCGAATCACAAATGAAAAGGGAATTGAGTGCTACTGTAACCTTCGATTTAAATAATCATAATGTCACTGTTGTATTGCATTCAGTTGGAAATTCTTTGATAGCAAAAGGTTCGTTAGTTTAGTGATATTTTATTTACGTGTATTACTCGAACAAATATATTACAATTAAATTGGGAAATGTTATATAGGTACGTATAAGAGAACGGAAAATGAAGCGTTTATAGAAATAGGTTTCGATATAAATGGAACTAAACATTTGGATGCTAACATTGGATATACAACGAAGAAATTTGCTTATGGTTATATCTATAATCCAAAATTCTATTTGGATATCAACAGTGAACGAGTAGCAGCTGTATCAGGTATGTGCATCTCTCGTGTGCTATGTTTCCAATACTGATATATTTCGAATTGAATTTTGTAGAAACTGTTTTTCAGGTGCAATAAGAAACACGCAGAAAAATAATTTGTCTCAATGCGACATCGAATTAACATTCCAAACGAAAAAAGTTTGGAGCAAATTGGTAGGATATATTGTTAAGAGGAACGTTAGTTTGGCTGGTGATTTCCAATTGAATTATCAACTTCAAACAATGCCAAGGAAAGAGACGTTGCATTTAGAAATAATGTTATCCAATCGATCAACGAAAACCTTGGCATACAAATCAGCTAATTTGAAATTACATTCCACCGCATATCCACAATTGAACACAGTGATAACAGCGTGGTATCAACAAGCCTTAGGACACTTAGAGTTACATGCCGAAGTTAATTCGAGTCCACATCTTCAAGATGAAAGACACAAGCTTGTTGCACAGCTTGTAATATCTTATTCAAAAATGTATTTCCAAAATCAAGGAACTAAAGTCAATGCATTAATTGCCATTACAAAGCCTATACAAAATCTTGATATTAAAATAGGAGTGAATCATTACGCTGTCGGTATAGAATCTAAGACTAGCCTTCTTATAGGATACGCTCTAGGTTTGTTAATATTTTTCATTAATTTTAATATCATAGATAATCGCGGTTAACATGTATATTAGATTAATTTGTCAAATCTTTATATCGATCCTTTAGAGAAAGAAATTACTTTGATGGTGAGAACGAGAATGCCACGTGGTTTGATGTTCGCCATAGAAGGTCGCGTTGTTCTGACGATTCCTAATTACAATTCAACGATTATAAATGTTCGAATAACAGAAAGATCGAAACGAGAATATGAATTGGATTTCGCAGGAACTTGGTTTTCCGGTCACTATATAACTGCACTTGGAATTTATACAGATCGATCGGGATCAGCATCGATAAGTCATAGTTTAAAGCTTATATTAAAATCATCAAGTTTTGCAAATGATATTATTATTAATAGTAAACTTTATCACAATACCAACGATCTGGGAATCAGTATTTATGTCGAACAACAAGATATGGACAAATATGCATTTATTCTGAATCATACGATGTTATCGCTCAGACAATTTTCAACTTACATTGAAAGTAGATATAAAAGTAACGTCTATTCCATTTTGAGTGATGTTGATACAGAAAGAGAGATCAAAGTAGAAATCCATCTTGACAAATGGCGTGACGTACATTTAACTTTAACCGGTATCAATGAGGAAAATGACAAAAAATATAATATCGAACTAAAATGGGATGCCAACAGAGATCCTGCATCAAAATTCACATTGGGCTTGCTATTAAATAAATATTATGAACCGGCATTATCGTCCGATAGTTTACCCGAAAAAAAATTAAGTGCAGCTATACAGTTGAGTTATCCTGGTAGATCAATTAACGGACTTTGTTTGTTAACTATACAAGATCAATATAATTACATAGTAAATGGAGTAATCCAATGGAATCCAGATAATACGATTAACCTTAACATAGATATTGGTTATAACTTTCAAACGTGGATAAAATCATTTAAATTTGAATCCCAATTATTAACTCCTTTCGATCAATGGAAGAAAACCGGGTTGAGTGCTAAGTAAGTGGAAAATATAATATGAGATTGTTTCATTTTTCTTCTTTTTCTTTTTTTTTTCTCTTTCTTTCTATTAATAATATATAATTATCATAAAAAAAAAAAAAAAAGATTAAGTTTATATTCTCTAACGTATTCTTCTTTTAGTTATTTGCAAGAACAGAATAAAATAATAGCAAGCGGTAGCGCACATTGGAATGATACAGAACACGTTATGGGAGATTTTTACGTTAACGCTGAAGAATCTAACGGTATCAGCGAATGGGTTGGCAATTGCGGATTAAGAAGTACAATTCATTCTATCACGTGGGTAACTACTAACGTTACACACAAAATACTTCATTCGAGGACAGCTGATACTCGTATATTAATCAAATACCATCCGGATAAAGTAATCGATGCATGGAGTATTTGGCAATTGGATGCAGAATCCTGGGTCTCATTTAATTTGTCTGGAAATCTACACTTTGAGTTACCCTTGGCTAGTTATAAAAAATGCGATATAACGTGTCAATTGCAAGTAAAGCCCAATCGTACCTTTTTGGGCCAAATTATTATGGATTTGGATAAACGAAAATACGTTGGAAATTTGCACGGAGATTTTTATCGCATAAAAGAATCAGATTTTCAATTTCATTTAACAACACCGATAGAGAAATATTCTTACATTTCTGCGAAATTTGGTTTGTCAGAAAGTACGAAACACGTAGTAGCTAAAATAAGTTATCCAAACAACACTTTGGGTTTTGAAGGTATTTGGCATTTATTTACGCCAACTTACGATTTCATCGTAATGTTATCACTGAATACACCAATAGACGTTCTTCAGAATTCATTATTAATTGCTAAACTTAACAAAGAGGAAGCTGATTTTAGACTTGCATATAACAATATGACGGTCGGATTTCGGGGTGCTTGGTGTTACAAAAATATTACTGATTTTTATTATTCATATAAACTCTTCACACCTTTATACGGTCTTCAGAAAACCGGTATTACCGCTAAATTGAGAATACTTCATCCGGAATTATATAAAACTAAACAAACAAGTTTTCTATTGGATACGGAATTCTCAGTCAATTTGGCAGAGATTAAACTCGGATTATTTGCTAATGTTGGACCTAAACCAGCTCCAGTTCGTATTCCTATCAAAATGAAAACTAAAACCAATGTAGGAGAAGATTCTTTGATTAAAAACGAAGATGATGAAGATGAAGAAGAAGACGAAGAAGAAGACACCGAAGATAATTTCTATTATAAATGCCACTTTATAGTAAGAATTATCACATATATAATAATTATAAATAATATATTATATATATATAATGAATAATAATATAAAAAATTTAGAGTAATAATTAATCGACAAATGTTAATGGTAATACAGATATGGTCAGTTATAATGGAGCCTATAAAATTACAATTGGACATTGACGCAGAAGGATACGATTATAAAATGTATGGTTTGGTGATCATTCCACCGAGAAAGATTACCTTTCATGATTATTTCTTGCTAGAGGATATGTTTCATATTAAAAATGAACTAAATATAAACACTCCTTTTAATGCAGCTCAAGAGATCACATCGTCGTATCTTTTTAAAGTAGATATGGAAACATCAATATATTTAATGCTAATGAACGTTAATGTCAAAAATAATGATATATGGGTGAAGGTACGTTAATATCAATAATTATCGTTAATAAATATCATTTATCTCGTTCGTATAATAAATAAATGTTATATCATTTAGAGCGGACTAAATGTAAATTATACGTATCAAGAAGAAGAGGATGATTGGAAAACACATATGTTAAAGTTTAATATAACGACGCCATTACAATTATTTAAATTGATCGATACAAAAGTCGTCGTTAATATAAATGAAAATTTGTACAAAACGAATATTAATCTTCATACAGAAAATAGTACCATTGATTTCTTAGGATCCTTTGAGGTAAGAACTAATGTAAGAATTTGTTTTTTTTTTTTTAATTTGTGCATTTAAATATATGGATACCTTCTAAGCAAAAAATATATATTTATAACAAAAGATAAAAACTTAATATTAGAAAAATATCATTTTTATTTATAAACACACAGGCAAAAGATTCATTTATGGATACAACGTTAATCCTCCGTGTTGATAGTCCAATATTGGTAATACCGAAAACTAAATTAACTCTTAAGAAAAATTTTATCGATAAAGAAAAGCAACTTGAGTTTGGTACTGTGATAGATAATCCTATGCGAAGATCAGTAAGTATAAATATTGAAAATAATTCGCAATATTATATTTCGACAAGCAATAAATTAATCATTTTTATATTTTCTTTATAGTCAAAAGTGCAAGTATATTGGCAAGTGGAAGATAAAAATTACAAAAGAGTATTCGTATCGTTAGAAACTTGGATTGAATTGTTAAAAAAATTACAAGTCGATGTATTGTACGTTGATCAAATTAATTCAAACGATACATTAAATTTGAACGTTAACTTAACGCACAATACCAATCGAGAATTTAGATTTATTAGTAATTACAACAATGGTATTGTCAAAGCTGATATATACACACCTTTAGTTTCTAAAAAGCATTTACAATTTGATGGTGATGTGATAAAGAAAAATAATAGCTTATACACCTTGCAAGGAAAATTGATAAATCTTGAAGATTCGAAAGTATACGATGTTTTAATGAATATGATCGTAGAAAGAAATGCATTGTCGAGCGTTAATCTAAATTTACGACCACAAGAAGATACCACAAACATTAACGATATTAATTTGACGTTAATACGTAAAACATACGAACTCCATTTTATTGCTGATGGTAGATATTTCAATACTTCAATCGGTATGAATGTAATTAACGCTTTGAATTGGGACATTAGAGCACGAGGTAATGACAAACAAAATAATACTGAATACGAATTGACGACATTTATGAACGTTCAAGTGAACGGTAATACGACATTATACGTACACGGTTCGACACCTTGGAAAGAAATAAAAAGCTTGACGTTAGACGGAAATATATTTTTGACCGATAACAGTGGCGACGTTAAAGTTAATCATCATTTAAACGACGATCATTATTACGCGGCATTGCAATGGAAATTATTGTATATGATAGATATGTTTGGAAAAATCGTAGCTGGATACGAAATAAATGGTCACGATACTAAAGACGTAAATACAAAAATATTTTTAAAAAATCCCGAAAAATCATTCCGTAATTTCGATATTGGATTTGACGTAGATATCGATCACGAAATATGGAAATTTGGTAGCAATGCTAGCATTGGTTTTCGTAATCATGAAAATATTGATGCCGTATTCGCTTTAAGATTACCACCACCGAATAACGACGATCATCGTTTGTTGTTAAGTTATCATGCTAATAAAGGCATTCAAGATATGTCTTACGTAATAGGATACAATGCTCTTCGAAGCAAGACCAATTATGCATCTGACGGTTCGGTTTGTATAAATTATTTTGATTACTTATTTAATGTTATCATTTATGTGTACGTTAATTATTAATAAATTATTATTTATCACACAAACACACACACACAGATACGAGTAGCAGCTCAAGACATAGACGGACATTTGCGGCTAACCTGGGGATTGTTACCTCATCAAACAGCTAATAATTTGTTCAATATTACATTCGATAAAAAAGAAATCGAATTGAAATATTCACTCTTTACCCCGAAATATCTACAAGAAGAAACACTTGTAATTCTGTTTAATTACGATGCCAATTCGGATCGGTATAATTTAATCGACGTTAATTTGTTTTTACCTGCGAGGAAGCGTATAGGTACGGCAAAAATATCCTTTGAAAGTTTGACGAATGTCAATGGCACTATCAATACCACCACGCCAATAACCAATGTTTCTTACGTCGGTTGCAACTTTGTCGTTCTAACTACTTTGTAAGTATAAATCATTAGAAAATATTGAATTATTATTAGAATAAAAAATCACACATTGTTTTATCATTTTTCAGGAAACAGAACAAGAGATTTATCGAATTTTTCTGGCCCAATAATACCGCTATATTCAATTCAGATTACACGTATCAAAGTGTGAAACTTGATTCCACTTTGGACGGCATCTTTCAATTAGAAATTCCTTTAAGTACACGTCATGTTGTTGATTTAACTTATGGTTACAAGAAACGTCCTCAGATTACAAACGGATATTCCACCTTGACGTACAACCAACAAAAAATATTCCATGCGGATTATAATTCTAAGAGCCAATCTAGAGCAGGATTCGAGAAAGATAATATTCAGATAAATATAGAGAATATATATAAACCGATAGGTATTATTTATGTAAATCAATATGAATATAGCGGAGGAAACGAAGGGACAAATTATCCGACTTTAGAGATTAAACATGTTAACGTTTATCAATTAAATAACATTTCGGCATTTAATATTTCGGGCGAATCTAAAATTATAACGACTCACACTGGTCAAGATATACATTTAAAAGCCATGCACTTGAACCATACGATTCAATTAAAGACCAATTACAAAATATTATCGGGAGAATTCGATCAATATACTTGGTTAAGTTTAGATAAGGACGCCTGGATATCGTATCACGTTAACATTCTTAATAAAACAACCGAAGAAATGGACAATCAATTTATAATTTTCGATTTGGCATATCCCCGTAGAAATTTTACGTTAGATGGTTCTTATAAAATCACCAGCGAAGAAATCAATTCCGAAGCTAAACTCGAATGGGATCGAGATAAGGAACGAACTCGTACGTTAGGTGTTGCTTTCGATTGGAGAAACATTACATCTAACAAAATGCTTACACACCAAGAAGCAATTCTAAGCTTCAGGCATCCGAGTTTTGCCAAAGAAGTAACTTTCAAGGGTGAACTTTCGAAAAAAGATATTAGAGATTTATTGAACTTGGCATTTGTCGTAGATTATTCTATAAATCCGGATAAATTATTGGAATTAGCTGTAATGGTAAAAGACGAGAGTGAATTACCAGATGATAGGAAATACGTCTACAGTATATCAGGGAAACATCCGAAAACTGAATTAGATCTCAATATCGAAGGTTTCTTTTACAAACACAAATATGTTTATGTAGAAATGGAAAATCACGGTAAATATAAACGTTATTTTCTACCGGAAGAAATAGGACAATTAAGCGGTCGTCTCGATATCAATCAAAAGGAAGTCGTATTCCGTCGTGAAAATAACGATAATGTGAAATATTTACAAATGAGATATTATCCTAAGTATCCGGAATACGTCGTCAACGGTAGTATTATAAATACACCCGATCTCAATGCTACAGGATTTTTCTTCTTCGATCCAAAAGATAAATTTACTTGGATGATGGTCAATTATACACCTGGTAAGTTAAAAGACAAAACTTTATTAAATCGCTCGTTTTAATGAAATATCATCACATTTATTGTTATCACAGATGCTGTACAAAGTTTAAGAATGTACGGAAAAATACCGGATGCTCGTAATGCTGTTTTCGATATATGGAGAACTTACGATGACGATTTCAACGTGTACGATGTTACTTTTTATTTGAAATTAAATCATTCGAGGCTAGTTACTTCAACTTTAAAATGGAGGCCCGAACTCAAAAGTGATATAACGGTAAACATCTTAACTAACTTTTACGCGTAATATAATTCAAATAATTTTATAATTAAATTGTATACTCTTATATATATATATTTTTAGAACATTTTAAAAACTACGGTCTCAGAAATGTACGAAAGTGTTTATAAAGATACCGAGAACTGGAAACAATACATTAAAACCGAAAGTATAATTATTATTGATCAGATATGGGAAGATTCTCAGGAAGAACTCCAAGAATTTCTTGACGATTGGAAGTAAGTAAAAAAAAAAAACATATATTTGATTAGTTAATTAATAACTTGAAATACGTAATTACAAAAATTAAAATATTGTTACAGTAATTTGAAAGAACTCGAAACAGATTTCGAAGATTTGAAAGTATACCTTAACGAATCGTACAATACTAATGAATTTTACATAAAAGATATCGTTACTTTTGCTGTATACATCATAGACGAATTATCCTTACGCAGTCACATAAAATCATTGCCAAACATTTTAAATGAAATTTGGGAAATAATGGGTGAATCTGGCGAAGCTATAAGGAACTCTTTATTATGGATTATTGAAACAATAAAAAGAGCATATAACAAAATCACCGAAATAATCAGTACCATACTTAGAGGTGATTCATTGTCACGTGTGGCCGATATTGTTGAAAAATTAATAGAAAAATATGACATGATTATCAAAGATGTTCACGTATCCTTCATCAGATACGTAGAAAATCTTTGGAATAATATATCGTCGTCGATTTCCCAACAGTGGTACAAATTCTTAAGAAACGTGGAACCGTTATTCATTCAGTTGTTACATTACATTGAAACTATGGCCTGGAAAGTTAGCAAAGAGGTCGTTGACTTCCTTTATAATCGCAAAAACGAAATCATTTCTTCGCCGTATTTCGATAGATTTTCTAACTTAACTCAAGACATTGATAAATTTTACAAAGATATCAAAGGAAATGATATAATTACTAACATAGAGAAATATTCCGGCTTGGTGATACAATTTTTAAAAGAACGTTATTTCGCTTTTGTACCTTTTGGAAAAGAATTGAAGGACGTTATCGATGAAATTATAATCGAATTAAAGGAATTGAAGAAATTACCATCCGTTCATTATGCATTAGATAAAATGCAACAAGTATACGATAAAGTTAATTACTTTTACAATTATTTAGAAATTCGAGTTAAGATAGAAAATGTTATTAGATTTGCTCATGCCAAGTTGATCGATATAAGCCAGTCTGCTCTTCAAGCTGAAAGTCGTTACAGGGAAGCCAAGACAAAGTTTCTCTTTGATCCGAATCAAGGCCTAATGTGTCTCGAACAAAAACTTCCTATGTCTTGGCATGCTTTTAATCAAACACCTGAATTCCATGAGATTTCGGAATACAGAATGATCACTGATATTGGATCATATTTTGTAACATCAAATACTACATTCTGGAGTCTATATTATCAATATAAGCCGTATACCGAGCCTTCGAATTGGTTACCACCGTTCAGAGGTAAATATCTTCATTAATATCTATATCAAATATATTTCATTTATTTCAATTTTATATTTTTTTCAGCACAAGCAATGATAATCGGATCGCGACACTTCAAGACCTTCGATGGATTGCATTTTGATCTATTTGGCTCTTGCACCTATTTGCTTGCTCATGATTTCGTTAAAAATACCTTTGCTATTCTTATTAAGTACAATCAAGAATCCGACAAATTGACTCATCGTATCGTCGTATTGATTGGCAAAAATGAAATAGAGATAGACATTTTCAACGATGTCAGTTAAATACTTTTATAATAGAATTCTTTTTTTTATCGATTATAATAAAATTAATAACTTTGTCTCTCATATTGCAGGTGGTAAGATTGAATTCAAATGCATCCTTGGAGTCAAAGAGTAATCTTCCTCTTCCGATAGAATTAGACAATGGTACGACGTTCGTGTATCAACAGGAGAATATAGTAACGATTGAACGTAAAAGAGACCAATTACGATTAGAATGTAATCTTAAATTCGACTTGTGTACGGTTGAATTATCTGGATGGTATTACGGAAAAACAGCGGGTCTTCTTGGTACAATGAATAACGAAAAGATAGACGATTCAATTATGTCGTCAGGTATAATGACTAAGGACATAGATAGTTTTGCTCAAAGCTGGTCTGTCGAAAATAGTTGTAAGGAAAACGTACATTCTGCGAAAAACAATAGAGAGACAAACGAACCGGTCACATCATTTTGTAAAGAACTTTTCGTCAATCAAACTTCGGAATTTAGTTCGTGCTTTGCTGTTCTCGATCCGAAAGAATACGCTAGGATGTGTTTGAATAGTATTACAGAATCCGAGGCATGTACAATTGCTATAGCGTATATGCAAGTATGCGTTTTTCACGACACGTATTTGAGAATTCCTGACAGATGTACGACTTGTACAATGATAAACGATACTCAAATAGCCGAAGGTGAATTTAGAAAATTAGAAGGAGATAATATACCAAAGTCGACAGACGTAGTCTTTATTGTAGAGGCAAAAGAATGTAATCGTAATATCAGACAAAATCGTAGTATCGAACAACTAGTAAATCAATTGAACAAAGAACTCAACGACAAAGGATTACTTTCGAATCGTTGGTCACTCGTTACTTTTGGTGGCCATGGAGTTCATGATCAGCCAAGGAGCGTTATTCTTGACGGACAAGTTTTTACTAAAAATGTAATGCGTTTTATCGATTACTTCGATCATATACCAGTTAGTGATGGTAATCAAGATATATTCGCGGCTATCGGTTTTGCTTCGCAACTAGTATTTAGAGCCGGAGTTTCAAAAACTTTCATCTTGTTACCATGTTCCCATTGCGAACCGGAAAATCAAACGGTATGTATGAAATACATTTTCATTCGTATTTTTATTTCATTCCAAATGAAATATCCTATTTTTTTGTTTGTTTAGTTGGATTACGCTGTAGTACATCAAGTATTGCTAGAACACGATATTGTATTACACATATTGATGGACGGCGATTTCGAATTTGAAAAAGAAAAACTTAATAAAATCTTTTATGGATTCGATGCGAGTAAATCGTATACAAAAAAAGATTCGAGAATTTTTACGGGCGATACAGATTTAAGGAAGCAAGTGAAATCGATGAAAAATGTCTTAGGGTATTGTACGCCACTTTCCTTAGAGACTAATGGAACTATATTCAGTGGAGATAAATTACGTTTTGATAAGCTGGTTTCGATCAAGAAGTTTGTTACCGTATTTTCTAAAAGAATAGCATTAACTGCTCTTCCACGGTCATGCCAACACTGCGAATGTACGGCCGATAATAATGGAATTACCAAAACGGAATGTATGCCCTGTGTTTTTCCAACACCTGTTACAGTAGATTACGTGAGTATTTGATACCTTATATTCTATCAACTAACGCAAAAAATTTTAAATGTTTGTTTTCATTTAACAGGAAACTTTTAATTTTAATGAGACACTGTCAGCTATGCAGCCGTTTGATTTAGATTACGGTCAAATAGATATAGAAGATGATTGAAGAAATGTGAAGTGAAAATGAAAATAAGTTAAGTAAATCTTATTCTTTAAATAATATGAGATAGTTATCATTTTGTATGTAATTATATTTATTCTTATAACATTGTAAAAAAGAAACTAAGAATTTTATTATAATAAATTTATACTTACCTTTTGATGTATTAATATGTAGAATACGATGACATTATCGCACTGGTAAGTGATTAAAGTATTTCGATGAATTGACGTGGCTCAAACTTTCACATCTTTTTAATCTTAAATAAAATTAGGGAATAGAATTATAATATACAAAAAAAACAAACATTGTATCAATATATAAAACTTCTGTTTATATATATATATATATATATATATATATATATATGTATATATATATATATATAATATTAGAGGCATTTATCTAAACATAACGTGAATCAAAAATATGGCGATATCGATTCGCGTTAAATTTGTCTTTTACCTCTTATGTTTACATATCTGTAAACTGAAAAATGGCGAGTATATTTGTAATTGAATTATAATATGCTACTATAGAAATAGAAATAAAATTTATAAAGACTTTGTGTCTTTCAAAAACATAACGATTATAAGAATTAAAGAAAATGGTAAAAACAAATGATTGAATCTTTTCAAAATAATTACAGTGGACTGACTCTTTCACTCTTATATAATTATAAAAAGAGAGAATTAATAAATTAAACTGGCAATAAGAACTAATGCCAGTTTTCTTTTTTTTGGCCACTATAGTAACAATATTAACCGAACGTGTAGAAAAAAGGTCACCTGGAGTCATGAGCTTGCAGATGATTAGGTGCATCTGCAAATGTAAATTTCAATTTATAAGCTTCCGCAACCAAAATACCTATTTCTGAATCTGTCCAGTTCTGTGTAGGCAAGTTCTGTAGCATCAACATCAAGCCCTACATTTAAAAACAATACTTAATTATAAAGTACCATGATCAAAAATATTATACGATAAAAATATATAGACATTTTGATTTTAACTATGAAAATAGAAAAATTAAACTTGCCTGAAAGTCGGGTTGTAAGAGTAAATGACGTCTCCAACGAAGAAGGAAAGCTGCACATACGTAAAGTTGAAACGAAGCAAATCGATCAGATTCCGCTAGGTAGGTATCCCACAGGCGAATCGTACAATGCAATGGAATTTCCCTAGTTAATAAATTATTCATCCACCGAAAGGAAAATTGTAAATAATCTATTCCATGTTGATGAAGATGTTGATGTAAAGGTGCTATAATAGAAAATTGTCTTTAATATTTATAGTTTAACGAAGAGTTAATGTTTTATATACATCTCAATGATATAAGTACCATCGATCCTTTGAATAAGTTCCTTTAATTGATTAACTTTATGTTGTATTCCTAACTGAGCAAATATATAATTATCTTGAATACCATCGAGAAACTTGGATAAACACCAAAAACTGTCTGCTTCAATAATATCACGTTGTTCTTTTTTTAAAGATGCCACGTCATAATTCTCTATATCTTGCCAAGCTGATACTGGTATAGCCTCTTGCAAGAATACTAAGAAGAAGGGAGTGACAAGATCGTTCATACCCTACAATATCAAAACTAAAATCAACATTTAAATGCTTTTAGAATAGGCAGAATATAATAGTAATATAGCTATATAACATAAAATAAGATTCAATAATATTATAACACTCATATTTATCAATATACCTGCACATAGCCAGAAGCCGGATGCCGAATTGCCCATATATAAAGTATTCTCTCAAAAATTAATTGTACAGTTGTTTGTTGAAATAATGAGATAAGGGGAGACATTCTTGGAATATCAATATGAATTTGACGATATGTATCCTGGAATCCTTCATCTCTCTCTACATCATAATACTGTTTTACTAGATTCCAATAATCTAAGCGCTTACGTTCTAAGACATGTTGTCTCCTTTCTATATTTGCTGGAAGATATTCCTGTGTATAATAAAAAATAATTTAATAATATTAAGTTAAGGTGTAAATTATAGGTATATACATGTACGGTATAAATTACCTGTCTTACTTACAGACAATAATCTCCATGTAACAGATCGTAACTTTGCTGGAACCCCTGACCACGACAGCTGCCTTAATTCTTCTAAATTTAATACAGATGCATCCAAAAGAGATTGAAATTTATCTATTTTACTTTCTCCATCTACAAATAATAATATATGGATAACGCATGGATAAACAATGAGATTAGAAATGATCGATATGTTTTCTTACCTTGCTCTTTCGAAGGTATAAAAAATTTTGTAGAAGAATTTGTTTGCCTTAATGGAAGTGGTCTACCAGGAAATTGCGTTGGCCTATGATGGGGAGAAGTATTCAGTCCAAATTTGGAATCAGAATTGTCTATAGAATGCTGACTGTTATTAATTTGAGGATAAACAGACAAGTTAGCATTCCTAAGATGCAATGGCTGGACAGCTAATCTTTGGAGAGCCTCTGCTTTTTTTTCTTCAGGAATGATTTCTTGAGTTCGCTGGACTAATTTAGGATTTGTTTGTAATTCTTTGCTCGCAGTGCCAGATCTATGACTGTTAATTACACTAAGTGCAGCTGAATGACTAACTCTTTTAGATATTTTTACATCAGAAACTGTACAGAATTCATCATCTCCAGAATCCCAAGCATCATCCACACTCTCCTGGAAATCTTGAAAAGATGTAGAACCACTTCCTCCACCTGCATTCCCACTGCTACTGACTGAAACTGTACCACTCAAGCTACCGGATGCAATTGTTGTTGTACCTATCTTATCGTGTCTAACATCTTGTTTGGGACTTGGCCTTTAAATAAGTACGGAATCTATTAGATATAAATCACAATTTGCTTAACTAAATCGATAAAACAAGTTATATTGATTTAAATATCTTATCATATTTTTATAAAACATAATTATAGGTATTGTGTTTTATACAACACATACCTGCCTGGTACTGCTCTAGTATTCTTTTTCCAAAATGATTGATGAGTTTGAAGAATCTGATTATGATGGTTTTGATTCTCCATTATCTTATGGTATTGGATTAACTGGCAATAGCCACTTTTCCGTAACCACCATAGAAATAATGATTTCTCTTCATTACCTTAGAAGCTATTCCTGAAATTTATAAAATAATATTGTCATCAAAAAAATAAGAATATTACAATATATTAATTAAATATTTAACATTATTTATCATATTATACCGATATATGTATATAACAATACAAATGATTTTTACTAACAGAGACATATGCACAGAAGGATTATTCTATATGATAGAAACATATTGTGACGTCTGAATAAAACAGTAAACAATTTTTTATTTGCTGCAACTAATTTAAGAGATTCATATAAAAAATCTTACAATAATCGATATCAATGCGATAGAAAGAAAAAGAATTATCTTGGATAAAAAGAAAAAGAAAAAAAAACAATGAGATTGCTATAGTTATCTCTCTGTTCTATTGACGAATTCAAGGAGGTTAGGCATCTGATCAAGTTTTTTTTATATCAATGAATCCAAGTAAAAATAAAATAAAACGTTTAAAATAATAAAGATGTTTGTTATGACCTTCTAGTTGACGTAATTATGCAAATTGTTACGTAGGTAAAAGTTAATTGTGCTGCAACTGAATTAATTGTCATTTATATACAATTACATTCAAAATGAACTATGTTCTCGTATAACACGTATCCATTAGATGATACATAAGAGTAAAAAAAAAAAAAATGAATAGATTATAAATGTTTACCGTATATTTCCTATATTCAAGTAGATTCAATGTTATATCCTTACTTTGCTCACTATTACAACAGGAGAGAAAAAAAAAACACTTCTCTTTAGTAAGAGTTTAATATTTTTGACGTATAACAATCTTATGCAAGTGCTGCCACCAGAATGCTCGTAATAAACATCGAACGAACTGATCTACGATCTATTTATTCAATACGTATATTATAGAATTATTATTTTCTTCGATATTGAATACGCGTGTTAAGATTATTCGTAATAAATGATACTTAGCATTTAATTCCATTTGAAATCATTGCAGACTAATGCGAGTATCGCTAAGTTCTTCCGTTCACGCCCAGTACAGGTTAACGACGCCATACTAATCCTGTTTTTATTGTATGCTAGTTTTATTTCAAGTAGATATATAATTTCTAATTTAGGACATATATATATATTTATATATAGTTTCGAAAGTGTATATTTGCAACAAATCTTTTTTTTTTGTCGATTTAACTTTCTCAGTAATTATTTTTACTCCTATTATTATAGGAATAAAATTATATTTCTCTGTAGTATTTTTTTTCTTTTATATTACTTGTTTCACTTTATCAGACTATTTCAAATCTTTCCTTTACTTTATTCGGCATTTATTATACTTTAACGTTCAATTTAGATTAAATATAGTATGAATTTTAAATAGATTTAACATTTTTTGTTTCTAGCCATAATTATTCCAATTAAATGAACAATAGTAGGTACTGTATTAATCTTTATTATATCATTTCTAAATGAACCTTATCTATCACATAACGATAATAAAATTCTGATATATAGAATTCCTATTGGAAACCTTTATTTTAAGATTATCAGTTACAATATTTAAATTATGAATCACATCAAAGTTCAAATAATTAAATATTACACTCTAAATTTTGACTCTTCGCAAATAGTTTCTTATAAATTATTACAAACGTAAAAGAGGCAAGCGTATTTATACATATTGTACATATGCATATATATATATATATATACACATATATATAAGTAGAGTTTCATTGGTGCACATGCACCTTTTATGCTTAACTGTAATGTGTATGTTCATGGTATAGGAACAAATACATATTTTCTTAAATATGCATGCGAGAGAGTATCCGTGATTCCATACAAAGAATTAGTTATTACACATATATAATTCCCCCATTTATGAATTACCTCACTTTTTAATTCCAATGTAGAAAAAAAATGTATAGAAAATATATGATTGGTTTCGCTGAAATAACCTGCACCGAATATAAGAAAGAGAAATAAACAACACATGAAAACAAACGTATACTTATATCAAATTACGGGAATGTATATGTAATGAATGTATATAAATATATTCATATTATGTGCCATCGTTCATAGAAAACGTTTCTCTCTTAATCTTACATAGAAACCAATACACTCATACGTCGTCTTTCGATGACACCGTCAAACGGTACGACCTAAAATTTAGTCAGTCTTACGCGCGCACTGCTGCGCTTCGTATCATTACAGTCATTGATTTGTATTTTTTTTTCCCTCCCAAACACAATTCACTTATATATAAATAGTGTAATATCACATCGAGAAATCTATAATAATACTAATAATATTAATAATAAAATAAAGAAAAACAAACACATGACATTTTTGGGACTAATATTTTCACTAAATATTTGAACATAATCAATCTTTATTTCGTCTGGAAGGCCAATCGATTTTACTTTTGAACACAGGTGAGTAAGGTTTCATTATAAGCAAATCGTGTACTTCTTTATTTAAGATCTCGTTTATATTTTTTGTATCTTTTTTTTCGACATTTTTAATGTTTCAAATGAAATTATTTAATTTTTCTCTCTTTCTTCCCCTTTCCTTTCCTATCTCGCCACTCTTTTTTTTGTCTATTTTTTTCTAGATATTTCGTTCTAATCTCATAGATAATATTAAGCATTAGTTGGCACGTTAATTTCATGGTCTTCGTATTATAGATTAGACGAAATGTATGATTATTACACCAGTGCAACGTTGCACAATAATTAACGATTACATTTTTTCTTTCCTCTTTTACTTCAATAAATCATATTATATTACTATGATATAATGAATTAATCGTGAAGTTTTATAAATTTCATCATGTTTCTTTTTTTTTACTTTTAATCAAATTCGTTAATTGAAAACAATTTAAGATTTATATGTATATTTTTAATTAACGAGTGACATTTTCATATCCTTATCTTCTGTAAACGTTTATCTTTATCTCCTTCACCTTTATTTCAATCTACGGGTTAACTTTTCTTAATATTAAATTTGGCAAGCTTAATATTTAATATGATGCCTAATCAAATATTTAGATAATTATTTTTATCAGTAGAAAGTCTGAGATACAACATTTCTATACTTTTCATTGTGAAACTAGGTGATGTGTATAGGATAAATGACCTAAAATTGAAGGAGCACACTTGAGAAAACAATCCTATAAAATAAAACTTTCTCCTTTGAACACTTTAAGTTTTTACTTTTAAATATTAATTTATTATCTTTTGTTGATCCTGTTAGTATGTATGCATATATATATATATATATATGTATGTCAATCTACTGAGTAGATAAATAAAGAAATTAATAAATATATTTGTATTTAAAAGTTAATATTAATCAGTTCATATTTTTTATAGATTTGATAATTATCTGATTGAAAAATGTCAGATATTGAGGCAGACGATGAGGTAGGTGAATGAATATTCAGTAATGTTATATTACTACTTTATCTATTGGATCGTAACAATAATTTTTTACTTCTAAGATGGAAAAGAAAAATATTGGTAATAAAAAAGTAATCGATCAAACAGCAAAAAGTAAGATTAGCAATAAAAAGTAATATTTAATTGGACGTCAAATTGTTTCATCCGTAAATAAAGTATTAATATCACCTTTGCAATACATAATACACAGTGTATATTTTTTTTTATTATTAATCTGTGTTTTTATAATTATTGTCATTACAGTTTCAAGATGCTGAAGAATATCCAGCTTCGTAAGTTAAAAAATACATTTATATAATTCATAAGCATGCATATATTTTTTTACACAAGTATAAATTTTATTTTATTACAGATCTACTTCTATGGATTTAGAAACAGCTATTTCGGAATCAAGAAAGGCAATTTATTATTTCTTTAATAATGATTTTGATCAAGCAAAAAAGATTATGGAACCATGGGCAAACAGTAGCATGTACCATTCCTTAGGTACAAGCGTCTTTGCATTTTTAGAAGCTATACTGACATTTGAACAAGTATGAGGAAATAATTAACATTTTTCTATTCATTGATATATACAATGTTTAATTTTTAATACTTTGCAATATATATTACTTAGAAGTACATAGAGAAAGCATCTGAAGCGTTAAAACAATGTATAAATGTCTGTTCAAAACATCGCAAATATACTTCAATTACACAAAACATTGGAAAAATGGTTAAGAAGACCAATTACGACGCTTATACAATTGGTAATGTAACATGTTTTTCATTCACGGCATATTATAAAGCTTTATAATAATGCATGTCAGAGCACAAACTAACATTAGTAATAATTACTGCTACTATATACTATATCAATCCAAAGAATTGACTGGGGAAACATGTGATTAATTAAATTTATATATATATATTGAATTTTTATATTATAAATATATTGAGAGAAATAACATCATATTCTTTTTCGTATTTATAACATTTAATTTATATTTTCTTTTAGCTTAATAAAAAGAATGTAGCAATCGTTAAGTCCACAAGTGTGACTTATCATTGATTTGTAGCATTGACTTTAGCAATATCATTATTAAGTTAAGTGTAGTGCATGCAAGGAATGATAGAAAATTAATATTGCAGAGGAAGTGCATGCAGAACTCTGCTATGCTGAATCACTTCTTTTAAAGTCGATGCTCACATTTGTGGAGGACGAGACTCTGGTCAGTTTTGTCAAGGCTGGATTGAAAATTCGTACCTGCTTTCTATCGTACAAGTAAATAAGTCCTAACGCGAAAATTATATTTATTTTTTTTTCTTCTTCTTAAAACATCTTTATCTAACGTTTTTTTTTTTACATTACAGAGAATGCTTAACAATTCTAAATAATCGTAAATGGGAGAATGAAATACAAAAACTTCACTTTGAAAGTGGAGTACGTATGGGTATTGGCACATTTAATTTGGTATGTAAAGTTATTTTTATGATATAAAAAATTTCATTATATAAATAATAATATATATATATTGATGAACTGTTATGATCAATTATAATGTTTGAAATTACAGATGATTTCTTTATTACCTCCTCGAATTATTAAATTACTGGAATTTATTGGATTTTCTGGTGATAAGGTAATGAGATATATTCTAATTATTATATATATATATAGTAGTATAAAGAAATAATTAAAATGTTATTTTTAGGATTACGGTATTAGTGAATTAGAAGCAGGATTTAAAGAAAGAAGAGGTCTTCGTCAAATATTGTGTGTAATGACATTACTAAGTTATAATTTATATGCTTGTTTTATATTAAGTCATGCAGATGGTAATTTAGACTGGTGTCAGGAAGCATTAGAGGAAGAATTAAATTCTTATCCAAATGGTGTATGGTTCCTTTTCTTTAAAGGAAGACTTGAGTTAGTAAGAGGAAATATTGAAGATTCCATAGAATGGTATAAAAAATCTTGGAGGAGTCAAAATATTTGGCCTCAATTTCATTGTGCTTGTTATTGGGAATTAATGTGGGCTCATTGTATTAAACAACAATGGGACGAAGCTGCTGATTATGCTAATAAGTTAGCTAACGAATCAAAGTGGTCTAGAACGATATACCTTTACCAAAAAGCTGCAATTCTTTTAATGCAAAATCCAAATAACGATGAGAAACATATTATAGATAATTTAATGATGCAAGCACCAACCTTCAAACAACGAATTGCAGGAAAATCATTGCCAATTGAAAAGTTTATTGTTAAAAAGGTAGAACGCTATTTTGCACAGAAGAAGAATTTAATCCTTCCAGTGTTTGAGCTTATGTATCTGTGGAATTTATTCAGGATAATTGGCAAACGAAGGGATTTAATTATAAATATGTATAAAAGAATTGAGGACGAGGAAAAAGAATTAAATTCATCAATGTGAGTCATTCCTCTTCTTTATCATAATTTGTTTTCATATTTGTTTCTAACAATTAAAATTATTTTCTAGAAAAACAGAATTTCATGCAGACAATGAAGCACTTATTCTGCTTTTAAAGGGTGCTTGTCTTCGTCAAATGGGACATCACGCATTATCTGAGAATTGTTTAGAACGTGTTAAACAATTAGAAAAATCTATAAAAGAAGACACTTATCTACTTCCTTATGCTACCGTTGAACTTGCTTTATTAGCAGAAGATCAACAGGATATTAAAACTGCAGTTTCATATTTGGAAGATGCGAAGTAAAGAAATCTTAGAAATATTTTACGTATACATATAATATACACTATTAATTGTAATATTATAATTTTCAGAAAAAATTATACCGGGTACCTGTTGGAAACAAGATTACATTTTAGAACACATTCGGATATTATGAGATTGACTGGGAAAAAATCGGGAGATCTTATATCAAATAAACAAGAAAATATAATCAAACAGCAACAGAAAGAAAATGCTATTAGCACTTTTATTAATGACGAGTCAAATACAGATAGTAATGCGAATGCAAAATTAAAAAATAGTCCAATTGTTACAAGCCTATAAAATTTAACATTTTATCTAAATAATATGTTTACTCTTCTATATATTTCTTTTATACTTCAATGATTGAAGATTAGAAGAATGTATTCAATATTCTTGGCACTATAATTCTATTCGTGGTCGATTTGATGGTCGACTGTAAAGATTTAAATTATTTTTTTATAGTTAGCAATAAATTATTATATTCTTTCTTACTATGGGTCAAGTGCAAAAGCAATTTCAATTAAATTCTAATTATTGAATGGAGTAATGGGGAAAAGTATGAAGTACTATTTTATTCATACGTAATTATGTATACAGATAGTGAGCATAGATATATTGTAATTAAAAAATTTAATAAAATTATTTCTAATGAAAGAGAATTAAAAAAAAAATGAGAAAGAATTAATATTTGCTTAATTTGAAATGTCATTTGCATATGAATTTGTTACTGTACAAGTTTACATATATTTATTTGTTTCAAAACTGTTTTTACTATTTTTATGTTATTATATGATACGTTGTTCTTTTGAATTATTTATGTTATGTTATGTTATTGTTATTTGTTTTATAATGTGTGATACTTTATTTTAATTTTTGTAATTTAAAATGGTATTAAATTTTGTTGAATTATATTTTGATTGATTATATGACGTATACGAATATATTATAAAATATGAATAATATAAAATTCATATATTTTATTTTTATTGTACAAAATTTTCTCTCTCTCCCTCAGTCGATAATTCAGTTTCGTTATAACGAAACCCTGAGGAATGTAAATTTACTATCCTATACCGTCCTGTATATTGTCTGTGGGTGAAGTTGGGTGAAATTAATGTCACTTCAATACTCTAGTGTTATTCTAGTGGAGCTGGAACCGTAGGTTTTAAACATTATTTAATAGTTGAACGCTTTTCCTGTTGCAAATATAAAAGATAAAGTTTAATAATATTTCTATATATTATATATTTATAGTTATAAATATGAATAATTAGTTATTATTTTTAGCTCGTACAATGATAAGTTCACAAAATTAAATGAACACATGTTACAACCGGTTCCAATATTTCTTTTATCTTTTTTCTTGCATCAATACATTTACAATTAGCATAATTATCAAAGTCTCTTTATATATATGTAATTATAATATCAAAGATTACATTGAATAATATCATGATAGCTATATTGAAGTACTTACTGAGATAATAGTCGCAATATATAATCTCGTATTGGAATTTCTAACCTGATATATGAACCCGGTATTTAAAAATGATTATAAAATATCTTTTGTCGGAGAACGTTATTTGTTATCAAATCTTTAACTCAGCTAATATTTAAATAATCAAACTCAAATAGAACAATATTATACATTTTTGGCTTTTTCTTACTTTGCAGTAATGATGATATAAAAGTTATGATGCAACACTGGAAGATACTTATATAAATGTAAAAGAGAAATAAGAATAATTTATAAAAGAAAAACTATGTTCCTGGGTAATAGAGAGTATTTATATATGTATTATATATGTACATATATATATATATATATTGTAATACTTTTGAAATATGATTTTTATCTGTATAATAAATGTATCAAATATGTTATAGATATCAATCAATAAATAGCATCTAATTCACAATGAGCACAAATATGAGTGATGTACAAGGTTCTTTAAAGGAAGCTTTATACGATACACTAACAGGAATTTTATCTCCGCATCGAGATATTCGACAAGCAGCTGAACAAAGAATTCAAGCACTCGAAGTTACAGAAGAATTTGGTATTCATCTTACTGAATTTGTGATTGATCCTAATGGTCATTTACCAATTAGACAATTAGCATCTATACTTTTAAAGCAGTATGTAGAAACACATTGGAATTCGCTAGCTGAAAAATTTAGGCCGCCTGAATTAAAACAAGTAACTAAAGAAAAAATAAAAGAGTTATTACCACATGGATTATGTGAATCTATTAGCAAGGTACGCAATTCTAATATCTTCGTTATAATACTTTAGTTTTCATTTATATAATATATTTATCTATTGATTTAGATACGTGCAGCAGTAGCGTATGCAATATCTGGTATAGCGCATTGGGATTGGCCTGAAAATTGGTCTGGCCTATTTGATATATTAGTTAATTGTTTGAGCGGAGAAAGTGAATATGCTGTTCATGGGGCAATGAGAGTTCTAACAGAATTTACACGTGATCTCACCGATACTCAAGTACCAAATGTTGGTCCTGTTATATTACAAGAGATGTATAGAATCTTTCAGAGCGAGAATGTAAGTTAACCGAAATATTTAACAATATTCCTTTCCTTTTTTTGTTGAATTGAATATGTATTTAATTTCATATATTATATAGCAATATTCAATCAGAACACGTGGACGTGCAATTGAAATTTTTACGATCATCATCAGTCTCATAGCTAATACAGGACATAAAGGATTCGTCGAACAATATTTGCAACCAGTTATTCCTATGATTTGTGAAAAATTTGTCCAGTGCCTGCGCATTTCTAATGGTCCAACAAGCGACAGTGGACTTAAAACTGATATTATCAGAGCCATAAACTGCCTTGTTACAAAGTTACCTAAATATATATCCCACTTTTTACCTCAAATGTTACCACCGGTTTGGGAAACATTAATTGAAAGTGCAAAAATTTATCAAGAAGAAACAGTCAATGGGATTTTAGAAACAAATGATAAAGAAGTAGATTCTGATGGTATGTTAATAATAGTACAAAAATCTAACAGATATTAATAATTTCTAATCTTTCTTTATTTTCAGGTGAAATCATTAATTTTAACAACCTTATCATTGCTATATTTGAATTTGTTCATTCTATTATGGAACATAAAAAATTTTCACACCTTGTCGACAATTTGTTACAAGATATACTTTACTATACAATAATCTTTATGCAAATAACGGATGAACAGATCGAGTTATGGACAACTAGCCCTAATCAATTTTTAGAAGAAGACGATCAGTGTTTTCTCTCTTACAATTTGAGGATATCAGCAGAGGAATTTTTATCAGTAAGTGCACACAAAATGTAATTGAATTAGAACAAATTATATCTACATATTACTTTTATTCAGGGTATTATCAATCAATTCGAAGAGAGAGGAGTAAATGCGCTTTGCGAAGCAATTACTCGGCATATCGAAGCCACAAACAGACTGCAAGCTGGCGGTGGTGATAATAGGAGTATTGAAAATTGGTGGAAAATACATGAATCTTCCATAATAGCATTGAGTATTACAAGAGATATAGTGATAGAGAAACAGCAGGAAGGATTATTGCAATTTGATATTATTAGATTTATGGAAACTGTTGTATTAAATAATTTGAATGATTCAAGTAATGAAAATATTGTTTAAATCTATTTCTGTTAAAAATTCGTGTAATGTTATTGTTAAATATTATTTTCTCTATATAATACTTATTATTTATAGATGCACCACCATTACTTCTTGGTCGTTATTTATGCGTCGGTGGAAGATATGCTCAATTAATGCCACCTGAAATGAACTCAAGATTTCTAGAAGCAACAGTTAATGGTTTACAGGAAAATCAACCTTCATGTATTCGTATAAGCGCAGCTAAAGCTATATATTGGTTCTGTGAACTATCCAACATACATGCTAATAATCCTACTCTTAATATTATTAGATCTCATTTACCGAATATATTTCAAGGATTGTTTAATTTATCTAGTCAAGCATCTACAGATATCCTAATCTTAGTAATGGAAACATTTCAAGTAATAATATCGGTAATTATAATAATACAAAATTTATCATATTTGTATATACACCTTTTTTACTTTTATCTATAATACAAAACATTTTAAAATTTGTTAAAATTTTGCAGTTGGATAAAGCATTTACTGCCTCAGTAGAAAATAAAATATGTCCATTAACAATTGCGGTGTTTTTAAAGTTTCATAGCGATCCAATAATACTGGCTGCATGTCAGAGTATATTTAAAGAATTAACACAAAATTCAAACTGCATTGAACCTCTACAAACTCGTTTAATACCAACTTTAGTGAGTATGATGTCAGTTACATCAGTGGATAGATCGAAGGATGGTATGAAAATTTCTTATAAGGAAGATAGATATATATTTATTTAGGAAACATATTAATGTTTATTTTTATTAGAGGGGAATCGCGGGGTAGCTTTGGATATCTTACAAGTTCTTGTTCAATATTCACCAAAACCATTAAGTAATGCTTTGATTGAAACCGCCTTTCCCGCTGCTTGTCATTGCATTCTTAATTCAGAAGAAAATGGGACACTACAAAGTGGAGGGGAAGTATTACGTACATATTTGTCTGTAGCTGCACGTCAAGTTACTAATCACAGAGACAGCGATGGTCAAACTGGATTACAATATATTTTGCGAATAATTTCACAGCTGTTAAATCCTCAGGTAATATTATAACATAAATGTACTTTTTTAATTCGTAATAAATATGTCTATCAAAATGTTGTCCCTCTATATTTATAGTCTAGCGAATTCACAGCAACCTTCATTGGACGTTTGGTAACGACTTTAATACGAAATGTTGGAAATACTTTGGGAGAAAATCTTGATCTGTTATTAAAAGCTGTTCTTAGTAAAATGCAAAGAGCCGAAACATTAACAGTCATACAAAGTTTGATTATGATATATGCACACCTTATAAATACAGAGTTTGATGCTGTTGTGAATTTCTTATCAACGGTACCTGGCCCTACTGGGCAAAGTGCTCTTGCCTTTGTGTTGTCTGAATGGGTTAGCAGACAACATCTTTTTTTCGGTAGATATGAACGTAAAGTAGCTACTGTAGCGTTATGTAAAATACTGGAACACGGTGTTACACGGGATGATTCTAGATTGAAAGAAATCACTGTAAAAGGGGACCAAATATTTTCTGGTAAGGAATCTATTTTTGTATTTTTTTGAAGGAAGAGTAAATTAATAAATAAAAAAGTTTATTTATCATGATCATTTTGGTTTTTGTTGATTTCTTTTTTTTTAAATAGATGAAAAGAAATGTATATGTATATATATATATGTATGTATATTTTCTTCATAGGAAATGAAACTGGTGTAAGGACCAGAAGTAAAGCAGAAACGCAACCTTTACAATGGAGTACTGTGCCTGTTCTTGTTAAGATCTTTAAATTAATAATTAATGAACTATCCAATGATATCGAAGTATTTAATGCCACTCAAGAAAGTGATGTATGTATATCTATTATAATTATATAATATGATAATTTAAATTTATTCGAATGCTAATTAAAATAGGATTAGAAATGTTAGATTTATATGAAACATTACATTTCCCAGATATCTGATGACGATGATGACGAAACTGATGGGAATGATACTTTTATAGATCCTGGACATGAAAATAATTTATTACGTAAGATTTTATTAATTATGATTTCTTGCAATTCGTTTTACTTAATGTGTTATCTTCTGTTGTCGTACAGATATAACACATTTAACATGAATAAGTCTACATATAACTTATTAAATATTTTATATTTTTTCTAAACCGGTGTAGAAGAAGAATATTATGACAATGAAGAGGAAGAAGATCCTGATCTTTTGCAAGATACCATTTATCATTTGAATCTTAACCAATACTTGCGAGATTTTCTCTCCAATTTTTCAACTCATCATTGTTTTCCTGTATACATTCAACATCTTAATAATTTAGAGAGCAAAGTTTTAAACACTTTAAATATTAATTCAACATATATGTAACAGATTATGGATACAATAATAATGATACAATTTTTCTATTTGATAATGAATTATTAAAGCAACTTTTATTTTTACTTTTATTATTATTGTTGTTATTATTAGTATTATTAAAACTTACTTTTTGTAACGATTATAATATCTTTTGCATAAATTTTTATGTTTCATAAAGAATAATAATATCGTGTTGTTTATGATGATTTATGAGTGAGATTTGTATATTCCCGCGCGAAATTGAAAGATGCGTAGAGGCTATTGCGCACATACCACCTTGACGCTGCATTGCATGGTGATTGCATGCATGATGCACAACAGAATTAAAAATCCAAGTAAAATCGATTGTCTTGACGTAAGATTAGATTGTATTTTATTTGATAAATATTTCTAATTGTTTATATTATCAGACATGGATTTGGAAGATAGTGAGAATTTGCCAAAACCAATGGGAACTTCACGAATTGAAAAGAATCCTGTTGATTACGACGAAGACAGAGTAAGGTTAGAATATTTTCGGTTGTGTCAAATTTAGAATAGAATAAATTTGTCTTCATACTTAGATTTATAGAGAGATATTATATAGTTCATAATACTAATTTAATAAAAAAATTAATTTTCATTAAATCAAAGTTAGCAAACATCATATTTGACTCAACCTATGAAATAAAGTTATCTCTTTAAGCAAGTAATTTTCATTAATGTTATTATTTCAGATGCATGAGATGACAGCTTCTTATTCGGAAATATCATTTGATTCGCAATCTTCTCCACCGGTTTCTGAGTTGAGATCACTTATCGAATCACCCGATATTGATGGAAAATATTTGGGAGAATGTTTGGAAAAGATGAATGGGATTGGTGGAAATAGACCGGATCAATTAGATTTAAGAAGTAGAGATTCTAGTCCAAACGAAGAAGAGGATTTAGATCCACCTAGTTATCATAAAGCTATGGGATACTTACAATTAGAAGGAACGGTAATGCAGGACGGAGATATGGTTTTGTTTGTAACCGAAGACTTGGAAAATAAGATTAAATTGTCCAGTCCGGTTACAAAAAAAGGAGAAACCCCTTCTTTTCCAGGATCAAGAAGTTCAACGCCTTGTTTATATAGGCAAGCATTAACGCCACAATTACCTTTACTGGATCATAATGTATTAAACGAATTAGAAATGGAAGCGAGGAAGATAGCTACTTCTGTTGATGCTCTTACAGAAAATCTAGCTGCTATTTTACACAGCGTACGTCATTTTTATATTTAGTTTAGTCGCTCCAACGATTTGTAATAATATAAAATTGTGATTTTTATAGGCATCTGCACTTACGGTTGGTTGTTTGGAAACTTATAGGGATGCTGTATGTAAAACTTGTGATGCTGTAGATCACAATATAAAATCCATGTATCAATTGATGGCTAAGTGCGAAGAATTATCCAAATGTATGGCACCAATTTATAAATTGGCAGAACAAATGTAAGTGTTTATATATTATTAACGAAAAAAAAAATTAATAATGAATAATTTTTGTTTAAATCGACATTTAAATTATATTATATATAAATCGTTTTGAATGTTATCTTCGTTTTTATCCAATTGTGTGTTGATTTTGAGTCATTTGGAAACAAGACGTTAATAGAGATGAAAGATTAAACGAAGAAAAGACAGATGCCACGGTCTAATTGAAAAATAAAAGCTGTTTCAGTTAATTTTGTTGCTACGATTTCCATAAATATTAAAACAGGTCAAACAGTCATTTCCCTCTGTGTGCATAGTCTTTCGTCTTCGTTGGCGCACTATACCGAACCCGTTTCATTTGCATTTCAGTAAGGAGATGAAGAGGATGCTGGAACTGTTTGAGAGCGCAATGAATTTGTAAGGGTAGAAGTTCCCACATTATGACATCACCTTCTTCTTTTTTTGAGCGATCCTGTTGTCCAAATGCTTTTACGATCGTTCTTTGCGAATTCATAGAAAATCGATATCGTCGATAGAAAATTTATTAGATTCATAGAAACAATTAAAAAAAAGATAATTTTATACTTACCGATCGTTCATTGTTATTAGTTATACAGTTGGTAATATTAGATTCGACAAGCGATAGATGCATTATTTCAAATTGAGATTAAATTCTCGTTACATTGTCATAAATTCGTCAGGATATGTGTCTCTGTGTGTATGTATATGATTTATTTTTAGATTAATCCTTGTTACATTGTACAAATTGTTATATAATGCGATTGTTTTGTTATATAAATAAACCATAACTATATATATATATACATAGATGTACACTGAAATGATGGTATGCTTAATAAGTTGGATGCTGAGCTATTTTCACGTGATTCAACGTGTTAAAGAACTTTTTCTCGATCTTCATCAACGCTCTTGTTGACCGTAGTCAACTCTTTGGTTATAGCCGAAAAGGGAGGTAGAAAAGAGAAAAAGAGAGAGAGAGAGAAAAAGAGAGAAAAAAGGGCTGACTCGTCGTAGCGCAGGAGACGACATAATGACCGACGATAAATAAAAGATGGTGCGGCAGATAGCTGCCCCGTTTTACCTCGACCCGCTTTTACGAAACCTGATCGTCTCACGGGCGCTCTTTACCTTAGAGTCACCGCGAACTTCAAAAAACCAAAGTGATTACATATGTACGTTCTACGCGTATATATACTACCTGCATTTCAAAGAGATATCGTCGAGTCAATGCACTTTTCCGTACTAATCTCTCCTCGGCGATAGATCCTGTTATTTTTAAGAAAGCTCCAGGTGCAAACGAAGAAGCAGAATAAACAAAAAGGTGTATGTATGCATGTAATATATAGATAGATTCTCGGTAACGATAGGTACAGTCTTCTTTCTTTATTTTCGAAGCTCGATCACAAAGTTATTCATTTCCTCGTCTTCTTTGATCATTTCCCATTAGACTCTTCACAGTTTCTTATCGTTAGCAAATTACTCGGAGCTTGCGAGTGCATCTTCTCGAGGGATGTAAGCTCGATGAGAAACGAAGATGAGAAAAGAAAAAAAAAGAACTAAGAAACACAGAAATACGTTTGCCTATGCCGCGAGAGGAGAAGAAGAAGAAGAAGAAGAAGCTATGGTGAAAGAAAATGAAACAAATGGGAATACGTGACTGCGTCGTCGCACAAATATCGCCAAATATCCTACGTTATTCTTTCGCATCGGTTAGCTCGCGCGAACATACGAATTGCAAGATTGCGGTGATGTCGGAGGTGCGGAAAAGGTAAACTACAAATGCTTGACAGATCACAGGCCGCTAATTAAAAACCTCCTCGTCACCACGAAAGCTTTCCTCTTTTGGTAAGAGACAGAAGTATATCTACCCCTCTTTGCTTTTTTTTCTTTCTCTCTCTCTCTTTCTCTCTTACATCCTATTCCTCTCCTTTGCTCCTTTCGAAGGCTGCTGACGGCAAAAGGCAAGAAACCGTCTGTTATCTTCGTTTCCTTTTCTTTCTCCCCGTCCCTTTTATCTCTTCTCTAGTCTTTTTCCTCTCTCGCACGTGTTTTCCACCATCGTCGTAGATCCCGTATCCGAACTCAATGTGTATATATGTATGTATATATGTATATGCATAAACGCGCGCGTACCTTTGCGTGCATGGTCATTGTTCCTTTATGTTACTTTCTGCCTGTCTCTTTTTTTCTTCCGTCTCATTATCCTTAACTAATGAGTTACGACCCTTTTTCGAAGCGCACACGTGCGCCTGCGCTTGTCCCTACGTACTGTGTACGCCAATGAGTAAGACAAAGATAAAAAAGATTCTTCTGTAGTTCCTTTTTTCTTTTTCTTTTATATGGTTTCTCTCTCCTTATTCAAGGAAGCTTTAAGAGACAAATTCCCTTTGACGTCTTTTTCGATCTATCCTTCGTATATATGTAAAATACGTTCTTTAACACGTTTATAACAAGAAAGAGAAAGAGAGAGAGAGAGAGAAATATCGATATTTTCTTTTGCTTGTTTTTTTTTCCTATTCGTATAGTCTCGAAGGACGAAAAGTTGTGAGATCGACTTTCGCGTTTTAATTTCCGGATAAAGGAGAACCAACTTCGATATCGGTTTTATTAGAGGTAATTCCTATCTTGCGTTTCCGACCGAACGATCTTTTCCGTGGTTCGTATTATTCTCTTTCTTTCTTTCTCTTTATTTTTTTCTCTCTCTCAGGGAATCGGCCGATAATCAGGCAGGCATCTGTCGTAAAAATGGTTCGTCCGATATACGGAATACGTACGTAAGAGAAAGAAGTACCATCGCAAGTGGTAAAGGAGAACCGTCCGGGGCCAAAATTTCATAATCCCAGTCTTAACAAGAAAAGTTGCATAAAAAGCGACTGAAAAGTTGTGAAGTTTTCCCGCCGCCGCCGCCGCCGTCTCGCTTGTAATCCAGCCTTCGTTCCAACCCTTCCTCATCGCGCCGTCCTCGAAGCCCACTCATAATTACCAAAGTTAATTTGCGAAGCGCGATTTAATTGGTTGGTTCTTGAAGGTTCCTTAAACTTCAGAGAGAGAGAAAGAGAGAAAGAGAATGAGTGTGGTATGTGTGTGTGTGTGTGTGAGTAGGAGTTTTACGAAGGTTTACACTTATTAATGCGACGAAAGGAAGCGAACCCATACACCCTTCTTCTTCTACTTCTTCTTCTTCCTCTTCTTTTTCTTCTTCCCGAGAGACGCCAGGAGGAGTCCTTCCTCTCTTCTCGTAAGCTCGAGTACCCTTCCTTCCTTCTTACCTTCCTTCCTTCCTTCCTTCTGTGATTTTTCTTTCCCCTTCGTTTTTTCTATATTTTCGTAGCCAATCCCATCCTCGAATATTTCTATTGAGGAAACACCTGCGTCCAGACCTGGTATCCCTTTTCAATCTCTCTCTCTCTCTCTCTCTCTCTCTTTCTCTTTCTTTTTTTCTCCTACTTTTCGATATTTTCGATAATCTTTTAAAAAGAAATTTTGTTTGACGAGCATTCAAATGGGGACCCGTTAAATTCTACTTTAAAGTAGACCTGCGAGTATTATTAGTAAAAGAAGTGGTGATAAGGAAGAGATGAAATTTGGAGAAAGCGATAGGGAATAATGCAGAAACGACCTAAACCACGAGTGCGACTAACGACGGTCTGTGGTCAGAGAAAAGAGAGATAAAGATAGTAAGAGAGGAAGAAAGAGAGAAAGAGTGTGTGTGAGAGAGAGAGAGAGAGAGAGAGAGAGAGAGAGAGAGATGAAGCAGGTCGGTGAGGTTGGGACTGGTCGAGGAAAGGAACGAGAGGACAGGGAAGGAAGAAAAGGGAAGAGAGAAAGAGAGAAAGAAAGAGCAGTGCATAGCGTAGGGTGCATTGTGCGGACTGCTAGTCGGGCATCGAACTAGAGGAAGGGTCTGCGGCCTCTTTGTTCTTATTCCTTTCCTGCTTTTCGTGTCCTTTCACGCTCTCTCTATCCGTTTCCTATGTTTCCTTTAACTTTTCCTTTACTCGGATTTCCTTCCTCTCTCTTTTTCTCTCTTTCTCTCGTTAAAGACGATCTCTTCCTTAATGTTTTTTCACGGTATCAATATTGTCAAACATTGATTACACGCATGGTTATTTTAGGCATCGTTTCAACTTTATTTACTTATTGAGTGCATACAATTTTTATTTCTTATTATTTACTTTTCTACGGACAATTATAATATGTATAAATGAGAAGGGAAAAAAGAAATTGTTCTTATGTAAAATAGTAAATTATAGATATAGAAATAATTATAAATAATGTGATAATAATTAATGATCTTAATAAAAAGGAAAAAAGAGTATAAAGTATCGATAGTAATGATGGTACTGACATAAGATACAAATAGAACGCGCGAGAGGAATCAATTTAATTATTATTAAAATATTATTTATGAGAGATTAACAACAGTCCCATATATACAATAAGTGTAAAAATCTTATGCGTATGCGGTTGTTAACACGAATAAATTATATTGAAAATAAATAAAAAATAAAAATCAGTAGATAAAGAGAGAAAGTAAATAGAAAAAGGATTAAGAGGAGAGAGAGTGAGAGTGAGAGAGAGAGAGTGAGTGAGTGAGTGAGTGGTGGGGGGGATTCGCGCGGTCGAACGCCTGTCTCGCGCTCTCGTCCTCGGGTACACCCCTCCCTCACCTCTTACACGCCTACCAATGACGATGACGGTAGTGCGCGGTGGTGGTGGGGGTATCGCGCGCTGCCGAGTGGCACTCACGCTGGAGTCTCAGTCGACGCCGAGCCGCCACGCGCGTAGGCTAAATTGTTTGTTTTTTCTTGGTGATTAAAAGTCGTCGCGCTAACACCATTCGATAATAATACAATACATTCGATTCTATATATATATATTTCTTCATTCATTTTTCTATATATAATATTAATCAAGTTTATTACAATTATATAGATTTATTATATACGATTTTTCTCGAGGGTGCATCGATATAAGAGTTTTCGGTGAAGCCTGATTAGTTATAGTTTATAGGTTCAGCGATAATGTTTGACTATTATCTACGCGTTCGTACTATTTCCGGTGTCGCGTGAGTGCCGATTCGTCGTTGCAATTTTGCGCTCCGAAAACAAACAAAAAAAAACAAACTCAACGAGTGAGAATAGGAGGAATGCATTAAAAACGTGCGCGCGCGTTGCATGCTTTTGTTTCTATATATACACACACCTTTATTATATACACCTTTGAATTTTCATCGTTGCACGTCGTCAACTTTAAATCTCACACCGTATAATCATCTATCAAGGAAAAAGGATCCATAGGACACGGGATAACATTTCGATCCGTCTACCGATTTTTTCCACTTCGACATGGACTTCGTTATACTTAAGGTAAATTATTTTGGAAAATACTATTATTATTATTACCAACTTCCTCTGGCCGAATCATTTATTTTCATATTATTATATACGCGTATTGTTTGTGTAACTTTAGATTCTCTTGTTACTTCCTCTTCCTTAGAACTCCTTGCTGAAATACGATCTCTTTTCTTTTTTTACTTTACCATGGGCGTTAGGTGGAATTTACCTTTTCGACGTGCGAACTTTGCTAACTTTTACCGGAGTTTTTTCGGCATGTTTTTTTTCTCCTCTCTCTCTTTCTCTCTCTCTCTCTCTCTCTCTCTCTCTTTCGTTTTCTCGTCTTCTATTTTCTCTCTTTTCTTTTTGTCGTCATCATCGTCGTCGTCGTCGTCGTCGCCGGCGCCATGGCACGCGTGTCGTCGTTCGTGTTCTTCTTTTCATTCCTTTTTCCTTCTCTTTCCTTTCGTACCTTTAACGGTTTTTGCCAACGACTGGACAGAGAAAAATAAAGAGAGTTAGAGTTCCTTTTCCTTTTTTTTTTCTTTTTTATTTTTTCCTACTTTCAACGGGTTTTTTTTTTACTGGACGGAGAGAGTGACAGAGAGAGAGAGAGATAGAGAGAGAGAGAGAGAGAGAGAGAGAGAGAGAGATAGAAGAAGAAGAAAAGAGATAAACATAAAATAAAATTAACAGAAAGTTTTTGGTTGTGCTCTTTCCTTTTTTTTTTTTTTTTTTGAACTACGCGCCTTTTTTTCGGTCTCCCCTGTACTTTGCGTTTTATCGAAAGATCATCGTAGAAAGTGCTTGTACTTGTTCTTTTTCTTTTTTTCTTCCCCCTTTAAAATTCACAGTTGGATTATTCAATAAAGAGATCGATATGAGTGCGATCTTTAAAATTGTTTTTAAAAACGAAACGAAATAACTTTATAGAGTATCTTAAAAGTTGTCTTTTCTTCTTTTACAAGTAAGCAGCATATTAAAAACCTATAAAAAGTCAATTGTTTTATATCGACTTTTTAATATGTGTGTGTTTTTTTATTGTTATATCGCTATACGAAAGATAAGAGAAGAAATTATACGTTTTTACATCGAAACAAAGTTTTAGCTACCCTACCAAATGAACTTATCGTCCCGACCGATCTCGTGTCTCTCGGTTTATTTCGTCAAGATATGGCATTAGATAGTACTCATACGTGATTCGAATTTGAAAGATCTATCTGTATGTATATTTCTCCAAAATTCAAATTTAGATGTATACCATGTACGGATAGTTTTGAATTTAACGTAGAAACAATTGTTATTTTTGACAAAAATATAAAAATGTATTTTTTTTTCCTTTTTTTTTGTCGAAATTCAATACTTTTCAATCAACCCACCTTATATAAATTGTCGATATAATTACATTTTTATAACGCGAATCTTTCTATCTTTTTAACTACCTACCACATGGGATGGTGGTGAGAGGTGAGGGGGGGTTAAAGAAGATACGAATAAAAAGAAATCGTCGAAGATGTTTATGATTATGTGAAACTTTTGTGGAAGTCAACTTTATCGCACAATAGCCGCTTATCAGAGTTAGTTCTTTGCACATTCGCCTTAAAGACGCCATTGCTCTTAACGCTCGGACTCAAAGGGACGATAAAGTTCTACAATTTGCGAATATCTTTTCTTACCTTATCGGAACTTCCGTTAGTGTGTTTCCGTGCGAGTTTTGCCAAGAGAGAGAGAGAGAGAAAAATCAAGAAAAGAAAGAAAGAAATAAAAAGATATGAAAAAAAGAATCGATTGAAAATAAAGCAAGTTTGTCATTTCATTTGAAACTTTTTGCAAAATATCAAAAGTGGAATATTATCGAGTAATTTTTATTATTAAATATCACAGAAATTGATACTTTTGTTTTTAACTCACCAACGTTGATTCCTAAAGAAACGACAAATCAAAGAAAATCAAATTACTAACAATGAGAGTTGTTTCGAGATCGTAAGAAAAAAAAAAAATAAGAAATCGTCGGGGAGATATTCTACGATACGGTAATAAAAAAAAGTTTCACTTCGAATATTATTCTTTAGAAAGAAATTTTTCTCATTTACATGGAGATAAGGTACGAGAAAAGAAAAAAATAAAAAGACAAGAAAAAATAAAGAAAAACAAGTGCAGAATATTTTGTCGTAGAAGGGGGATGAAAAAAGAAAACACTTCCGTACCTTTTCTTTCTTTCAATCTTTTCGGTCAATAAAATTCGCGTTGTTAGGGCTGGAAGAACAACTCACTTGTATTCCGATTCGCGAAAGCTTGATTATTTGAAAACGCATTAAAGTTGGAAGTGACGACGTAGAAAGTGGAGGAAGGTATCGGGGGGAGGAGGTGGAGTGTTAAGAAGAAGAAGAAGAAGGATAAGGGAGAAGGAAAAAGGGAAAGGTGACAGACTGGGATGATTTCGTAAATTCAATTTGTCTTTCTTCAACGAGCTGCTATCCAAAAAGAGGATTTTGAAAGTGCGAAGAAAATTATCAACGCTATCAAAATTGTCCTCGTTTACTTTAGTCGATGTAGACACGAAGGAAGAAAAACGAATGGAATATGATTTCTCTAATAATTTCTTACTACGAAACTATTGTCGTCGTTTTCGTCGTCGTCGTCATCATTTCTACGTTTACTCGTTATCGTGACAAAGCAAACCCGCAAAAAGTTGGTCGTTGGTTGGATCGTCATTCTAACAACAACTCGTTTCTATTCGATATCATTTCTATATCATAGAAAAGTAAGTATTTGTATAGAAGTATATATATATATATATGCTTTCTTCAAAAATCATTCGAAAATAAGGAAGAAGAGGTGAAATTTGAATTCACGAGTTTGCTTAAAGGATGATAATGACGACGATGACGACAATTTGACGGCAACACTCTGGTTTTGTCTTGAACCACGGCATATCGTTCTTAGAAACCCAGGTGTACGATAAAGAACGATAAACGAAGTTTCATAGTACGAGCGGGTAGATTACCATAGACGATTACGACTACTACGACTACAACGAGGAGCCATCCAAACTCTGAGATATCAGAAAAAGAGAACCTGCTATTTTTACAAGACCACTTTTATTATATATACATACTTTGCATATACATGTATATACGTATCTCTATGTATGAGCCCTTCCTATTGCTCCTTTCACTCCTTTTTTTTTTTTTATCTTTTCTTTTTTTCTTTCTCTATCTCAATATTGCATTTCGTGCATAGCATGACATACATTATCGTAAGAAAAAGTTTTAAAATAATCACAAAATTCCTAATTCGGAGAATAACGGAATATTTATAAGAACAAAATTTATGGGCTTTTAATGTTATCGAGGGCTAATTTATTCGTAAACGAATCAAAAAAATTACACGAGTAGTAGTAGTTATTTTACATTTTAGATTATATTTTTCTTTTTCTCGTATTACACACACACATACACAAAACACGAACCGAGTTTACTTTTCTATCAAATTGACTTTTCGTACCGAGAGAAAATATCACTTTTATTTCGAACGACGGGGGGTTTTTTTTTTTCTTCTGACATATTCTTGGAATCGTGGCAATTAATTTTTCGAATATTTTTACATTAACATTTTTATTCATTCCCATGGAAAAAATATCAATATAAAACATCTACGATAATATAATTAAATGAATTATTGAAATGTAAAATAGATCAAAGTGTTTTATATTCAACATATTTAATTATCAATAATTCGATGTGTGTGAATATTTCAATAATTTTCTTCGAAACAATCTTACTGTCGTTTTATTATCATTTAAAACCAAAAAAAAAAACACTTTGCATTAATAATTCAACTACTTTTTTTCATTTGTATCGAACGAATAGTGGATTTAAAAGAGTATTGTCGGAATTGTCGATTCGCGAACTTTGTTAAACATGAACGACGACTATTTCGCGACATTTTTTTACCAACGGCTTGTATTTAAAATGTAAAGTTGTATGTAGAAGGTCCGTTTGCATGAGTGTTTAGGTCGTTGTCCGTCGATGGTTTAGAAGAGGCAGCAAGAGTTGGTATCGAGAAAGGCTCGCCTAAACTACTACCGCATTTATCACCGTCTTTTACCGTGGCTGCATTTATCATGCGGCTTTGATGGTACTACTACTACTACTACTACAACTATTACTACTACTATTACTGTATATTTCTTGAGTGTTTGCGCATCGTCGTTTTGCGCAACCGAGCAAGTAGGTACTCGAAGAAGACTTTTTAATCCATCCTTTTTCCATGTATATATATTATATATATATACACACATATACATACTTGCATACATATATATATATATCGTAGCACTTTCTCGTTGAACTTTGGACAAAGCCCGATTATACTTCTAAGACTGTGCTCCGATTGTCTCTTCTCTTCTTCCTTTTCCTAACTTTGGACGTTGTTCATTGTGTCCTCTTACTACCACCCTCTACTACTCTCTCGTTTTATATTTCTCTTCAATATGTCACTAGAAGGGATCAAGTCCTTCGATTTTGATGGTAATCATTTCTTAAAGTGGAACGTTCGTTCCATCGTTATCATCCTTTCGTTACTTTTTACTATCTCGAAAGAACGTAAGAACGCGTGAGTGTTTATTCTATCATCAATTGGGATTATTTTTTCTTTGATAAATAAACAAAACAAATATTAAAAAAAAAGGGAACGAAAAAATCCGATCGATCGGAAATATAAAAGGAAAATTTCAATTTATCCTTTTTCTTCGGCTTTTTTTTAAACTTCGATTGAAATTTAAAGCTTATCCCTATTTTCATTCTTTCTTTCCTTTTTCTTTTTTTTTATTTTTTTTACCTTACTTTTGTTCTATCCTTTCTTCCTTCCTTCCTTCCTTTCGTCCCACTTCGAGTTCATATATATTCATGGTGTTAAACATCGTGGACCTTGTAAATATTCATTTTCTTATACAGAAGAAAGCGAATTTCTCTCTCTCTCTCTCTCTCTCTTTCTCTGTTTCTTTTTATTTCTACTGGGAAATTGTTTTC